AATAAAGTCATATCTTTCTCGTTTACGCCTTCAATAATTAATGGTTTAGATGGTACCGTTGATGAAGGATTAAGTGCCAAAGAAGTACTACGTGATAACAAATTTCCAAGTTGTCCCGCTAAATCTTTACGATATCGTGTTTGAAGAATAACAGGATCATATGCTATCATAAAATAAATACACATATTAAAACATTTTTATAACGAAAAAAATATTATAAAAAATTTTAATATCCTACATCCATCATCAGAAATACCACCATCTCTCATTAAATAATAACGAATGGTATCAACACCGTATACTTAGTACAGGAACTGATGAGCATGGATTAAAGGTAAAAAAAATATATATATATACATACATAATTTGATCATTATTAATACAAATACCAATATTCATCATATTTATTATGTTTTTTTATGATTTTATTTTATAGATACAACAAGCCGCCGCCAAAGTGAATCAAAGTCCGCAAGAATTCTGTGATAACGTATCTAAAAGATTTCGTGTACGCAATATTTTTTTCGTTATAAGATCTATGTTATTTGCAGTGTAAAAATAATAATTATAAATGATTTATATTTGCTTATGGTAAATTACTAATTATATTAATTACATTAATTATGAACTAATATTTTTAATAATTAAAGGCCAATAAACATTTCACGGATAATGAACCATGGAATTTAATTAAGGATCCAAATAAAAAAGAGATTTTAAATCGTGTATTATTCTTTGCTGTTGAAACTGCTAGAATTTCGGGAATTTTATTACAACCAATAATGCCAACAAAAATGAAAGAGTTGTTAGATATGATTGGTGTTAGTAACGACGAAAGACGATGGGAGCATTCCAGATTAGGAAGTGGATGGCAAATTAATGGTGGAGGAAGTGTAAAGTTTAATGTTAAAGATGGACATTTTTTGTTTCCAAAATAACCAAATTTATATTCCCAAATTTATATTCTGAAATGTATTTTGCTATATGTAAATATAATATTCAATGTTTAAATGATATTCGATGTTTAAATGTTGTATATAAAGAACCAATTTTTTCCCCTAGTTCTTTATTCGTCAAATATGTTATTCCAAATATGTTAGAGAATCATATTTAAGCTTTTTGATAGTCCATATTGAATATACAGATATAAGCGTATTCAATACGCATAAGTAATGGGTTGACCTATCAAATCATCTAAGATATATACTGTTATGATTATAATCCTAGAGAAAATTATATAAAATGTCTGGTTGTTTCATTATTATTATAACTTTGATATTATTCTTTTAGATGCTTCAAAACTTATATCATGCATAGAAATTAAAATTTAATTAATTGACCAGATAAATAATCGACAGCTACAGCTACCCAGTAAATTTATAGTTGTCACAATTTAATCAAAATAATATATATTATAGGCAAAAATACAATAGCGACCCGTCGCCATGGCGACCCTATGATCGGCCAATCATTTTTTAGATTGGCGATCATATAAGTAGATCGTGATTTTGTTTTGATTCTTTGCTTCTTTCCACTTCGCTTTGATAGGCTTTTTGTTTCGTTCGAACAGGTTTGTATTTTTTGTTTTATTATTATTATTATTTATTTTGAAACTAACAATTTTTTTTTTTCTTCGTTTTATTTTCTTATTATTTTTTGGGAGCTGATATTTCCACACCCTCTTTTTTGATATTTCCACACCCTGTAGATCACTCATTTTTAAAACTTTGATCGAGGATATCTCGGCAACCACCTGATAAAATTCGATGAACGTTTTTTTATTTGAATTCTATGGATTCATAGAATTCGAATAAAAAAAAAGTTCATCGAATTTCATTATGTAGTTGTCGAGATACCTTCGATCAAATTCATACATAAATTTGTCGCGGCTTATATTTTGAAATTTTTCTAAAACATTAATCAAAGATATCTTGGCAACTACCCAATGAAATTCGATGAGCTTTTTTTTTTTTGAATTCTATATATTCATAGAATTCGAATATAAAAGGTTTTAACGAATTTTATCGGGTAGTTGTCGAGATACATTCAGAGTTATGAAAAAATTTGCCACGGCTTACATTTTAATAGACGTTCAAAATTTTTCTAAAAGTTCATCGAAGATATCTCAACAACTACATAATGAAATTTGATGAAATTTTTTTATCTGAATTCTATGAATTTACAGAATTCAAAGAAAAAAAATTAACAAATTTCATTGGTTAGTTGTCGAGATATCTTCGATGAAAGTTTTAGAAAAATTTAAAACCATCCGTTAAAATGTAAATTTGTGTATGACTTTGATCGAAGGTATCTTGACAACCACTTAACATCACGGCGGATTCTGTTCATGCCTTAAAAATTAAAACAACCCTCAAAATTTAGATTATTTGTGTTTTTTAGTACTCCGACGTATTGATGCATAGTTTATTACAAGTCTATACCCTAAAATTAGATATCTTAAATTTTG